GACAATCCCGCGACAGTGAAGCGGGTGGAGGTCGGTTACCCACACAAGAGGTACCGACACAAGAGGCCCGGGGTTCGAGACGCCCTCGGTTTGCATGGCCACATGTTTGAACGTTCTGCAACGTCCGCTGGGTTGCAGGGCGGGCCGTTTTTCCACAAGGGACTCGCTGGGTAGACCCTTGGAAGCCAAGATCCGGCGTCTTCGCTAGTCTTGGCAATGGAGGAATGGAGGGGTGAGCCTTTCGAACTCGGGGCTCTCGCTCGAACGGCAGGCCCGAGTGGCGCTCGCCGCTCGGTTTTGAGGGAGGCCCTTGTCGCAGCGAGAAGGAATGTTGGCGGGGGCTTGCGGGGGCAGGACTTGCGGCGGGAAGGTGGGTTGCAGCGTCGTTGGCGCTCCCTAGATCCTGCTGTAGTTTGTAGTTCTCCATCTCCTTTTGCGTCTTCGCGTAACTTGTGTGCTGCAGATCTGGCCCAAGACAATAGCTTCGCAGTTCTTTTTATTTTTGGAAGGGATAGGGGGGGGGTCGTTGGCGCGCTGGGGGAGAGGGGGGGAAGGCACGCCTGACGCTTCGGGTCCTCGAGGCCCAGTAGCCTGGCTAAGAAAAACATGAAGGTCACGCGACCGGGGCGCAGGCAATTCCCCCCGCGCGCGCAAAAAATTGGGCAGGGATTCATCCTTTACCCCCGCTCCTCCACCTCTCTCCCCCCCCTCCGTAGCCGTTTAGGCTCTAGGCTCTAGACGGCATTTTGTGTCTCACGGCTCAAGCGAGCCTTGGCATTGTTTGATCTCTTTGGTCTTGTGGTCATATGTCTGGCGCGCGGGCATTATTGTGCGCATTCTTTGGCATGGATGCCGTCCGTGGGCACACATGAACTCCTATCCGCGCGATGCGTCTGGTCGATGATTATGCAGGTCGCCACATTGATATAGCGGTGATGATGGTAAGTGGAGTAGCCGTAACGAGGACTTTCCCCACAAAGGAAGCTCAGAAACAACGTTGAGCATTTGGTAGAGGTTCTGCCTGAAGAATCTCGACTCCCAGCTCGCAAGCCGCAGCCATCATCTCAGAACGTTGACGTTGGTTCTGCGAGATATCGAAGGTGGCCCAACCCGACTTCGCAGTTACTCGTGGGACCGAAATCCACAAATTAGCGGGAAGGGCCCGTCGTCGTGCAATGTTGAAGCGTAGCATGTGGTACTTGGTACAAACCGAGAATGATTGTCGGAAAATTTGGCCACGGCGCCCCGCAGCGTGAGCATGGCCGTCCCGTCTGCCGCCTTGCAATGAAGAGCCCAGGGAGCTTCTTGTTGGCGACGGAGAGCGTGTCTACAAACACCACGTTGCATGAATTGGTGAAGAAGATCCAGGAAGTGTCACGGGCACCCCAATTCAAAGGCTTGTGCGGTAGCCGCACGCGCCAGGATGCATTCAGGAGTCTGGTTGACCCAACTCAACTTCCGAGTCGTTGAGCGCGTGGTGGAGTGCATACTCCGAGAAAGGAGAACGAACACCTCGCCGCATAAGCCCCCGAACCCGCAGAGCCCAAACAGCAACATTGACCATCATTCCCAGGCCCAGTGCCGGCAATCATGCCCAGACCTCCGGTTTAAGCGGAGGCCAGCAATCATGCCCAGACACGCAGGCCAGCAATCAGGTGTGATACCATAAGGGTGGTCCTAGGGATCATGGACCGCTGCGAACCGTGAGCTCGGCACTCACTTCCCGCTCTCGTGCTTTGTGGAGCGCAAGGGCCCCGGTTCCAGATGCCACTTTCCGCAAAGTAGCTCTGTAGACGCTGCGGTCTGGCTAGGACCCGCAGCCACGGCCGTCCCGAGTGGCGTTGGGGCGTTGGGGGTGAAGGCGCTGGCGCGCCCGCCCGCGGCCCCCAGCTTGCGCCACAAGCCGCCCACCCCGTTGCCAGGGGTGGCCCCACATTGATATAGTGTTTCAGTTTTTGTCGCGCAATGCAATAGCGCTCCAATTTGCCAGACGCCGCGCCATGCAGTGGGAGGAACAGTTTTTGGCATCACTGGGAAATGCATTGGCAACCGCGTATCCTGATCGAGGCATTACGCAGCGAGCCTGTGCACCCTGTTTCTGCCGCGGCAGTGCTTGGTCTTTGCCATGGGTCGACCTAAACGGCATTTTGGTGATTTCGTGGGCCGTTGTCGTTTCGATTTCGTTTTGCAGCAAAGGCGGATTGAAGACAAATCGAGGGAAAACGGAAACAAAGCAACAACGAAAAACACGGTTTGGGTCGATTCTTGGTCTTTGCATCCATTCGAATTTCGCGCCTAGGAATTCCATTATGTTGTTGTTCCTTTTCCAGTGCCGCAGTGGTTCTCGGTGCCAGAGGCCCTGGCGGTGGCATAGAGTCTGTATGATCGCCAGCTTGCTGCCGACCGAGCTCTCGTCGATGCTCAAGCCAGTTCCACTGCTCAGCTGCAAGCGGTTATTCGGCGCATGTTCCCCCCTCTGCCTCCTCCGGCGCTCGCACTCCTCATCCATGCCTAGAGGGGCTGGTCAGCATGTATATTATCTTGCTCTTGAGAACAAACTTGAGGATGTCACCGAACTGACCGACAGCAGGGCCCAGAACGCTTTGAAAGAAATACAACCTAGTGGTGTCAGAGTCGCTTATGGGTTCTTTTCCTGAGATTGTTTTTTCAAACAGCGGCATTTTTTTTTCCAGGGGGGGCTACTTGTCGCCTGAAACAGATCACGTGTATGAGAGAGTGGTCATGCAGGTCTCTGTGCTTGCGGAGCGGGTCGCCTTGGGCATGGGGCCACTTCCTTGTGCTGGCGGCGCGGGGGACATGGGCGGCGTCGGGCAGATGGTAGAGGACACGCGCAAGGGGTATGACGATCGTTTTCATACAGTCGAGGCACAGCTGGTGCCTTTTACAAAAAGCTGGATTGCGCCACCTCTGCGCCGCCCTGTTCTCAATCGCGCGGCCCTGCGCCCAGAGCTCGCGCCTCGAGCTCAACCCGCGGAGGAACATCAAGTCTGAATATTTGTCATGGCTGCGAATGTCACAGGTGCGATTGCGTGTCATTCTTTCCGAGTGGACGATTCACCGACGAGGCGACCTCTGAACCGCTGAAAATTTCGAGTCAGCCCACGCAGATCGCTCCACTGGCCGAGCCCAGCAAGTATAAGCGATTCAGCAGTGTTTGCAACCATATTGAACAAGAAGAAGAATGTTAAGGGATGGTGACCTCGCAGATCTTCTAGGGCGGGCCAAGTGACGACAAGGAGACCTCTGACGCGCAGCGTGTCGTCCTGCCCCACCTGCTGCGCGGCCAATTCTCCCATGATACCGGAGAAAAACCCGAATCATAATCTTTTTAGGGCTAAGGGGCTATAGGGCTATAGAGCTATAAGGCTCTGGGGCTATAGGGCTATGGGGCTATTGGGCTATAAGGCTATACGGCTATGAGGTTATAGGGCTATTGGGCTATTGGGCTATAGGGCTATAGGGCTATTAGGGCTATGGGGCTATAGGGCTATAAGGCTATATGGCTATATGGCTATAGGGCTATAAGGCTATAAGGCTAAATGGCTATCAGGGCTACAGGGCTACCAGGCGCCCGGGCACCCAGGCACGCATCCGGACAACCGGGCACCTGGGCACCCAGGCGCCTGGGCACCCAGGCACCCAGGCACCTAGGCACCCGGGCTACAAGGCACCTGGGCACCCGGGCACCCGGGCGGGCCGCCGAAATCTTTTTAGGGCTATAGGGCTATGGGGCTATAGGGCTATAAGGCTCTGGCGCTATAGGGCTATGGGGCTATAGGGCTATGAGGCTATAGGGCTATGGGACCGTATGGCTGGGCCATAGTAGGGCTATAAGGCTATAGGGCTATAGGGTTACCGGGCACCTGGGCACCTGGGCACCTGGGCACCCGGGCACCCGGGCACTTGGGCACCCGGGCACCCAGGCACCTGGGCACCCAGGCACCGCCGAAATCGGCGCCACAGCTAACCTAACCGTATGAGTCCGCTAGGACCCCTACAAAGGCAATCTCTGATTGGGTAATGAATCCACTAGGACCCGTACAGAGGCAAGCTCTGAATGGGGAATATTCTCCCTGGGAGTGCATCCAGAGCCTGGCAGCGATTGAGGAACGGTGGAGTTCTCAGCCCTCGCGAGCCCCTGCTTCATCCTCTCGACCTTCTTTTGCGAAGTTGTTCTTTAAGAGGTTTCCGCTTTCGCTCATTCCTCGTTTCTCGATGTGTGGGCTGTTTGTGTTTCGATGGGTCGCAGACTCTTCTAGGTAATTATTCTCCACCTCTCTCCTCCCTCCCCTTGGCCTCAGCCGCCGACGTTGTCGTCGGCTGCCGTCGTTGTCTTCGTCGCCGTCGTCGTCGGCCGCCTTCGGCCACTGCCGTTGTGGTCGATTAATCATTGGTCATTCAGAGGAGGAAGGGAGTGAGGGAGGGAGGGATGGGGGAAATTGAGACAGGAGGGAGGGAAGGGGAAGAGAGATTAGAGGAGGGAGGGCGGTAGGAGGGAAGAGGGGGGAGGATGGACAAGGAGTTTGCCCGTTTTCAGTCGTTGGCAGAATGGTAGCACAGAGCGTGCACAGGGGAGGCGAAGGATGAAGGAGGAGGACGGATTGAGAAGGGATGGAGGGAAGAGTGGGAGGAGGGAGGAGGGAGAGAGGAGGGATGGAGGAGGGAGGAGGGAGGAGGAGGAGGGAGGGAAGAAGGAGGAAGGAGGAGGAGGAGCAGGGAGGAGAGACGGATGAGAAGGAGGAGGGAGGGAGGGGGAAAGAGGAGGGAGGAAGAAGGAGTGTGGAGGAGGAGGAGGAAGGGGAGGAAGAGGAGGTGGAGGAGGAAGAGGAAGAGGAGGATGAGGAGGAGGAGGAGGAGGAGGAGGAGGAGGAGGAGGACGGGGGGGAGGGAGGGGGAGGAGGGAGGAAGGAGGAGGGGGGATGGGGGAGGGGGGAGGGATGGGTGGATGAAGGCCCCCCGCCCCACCCCACCCAGAGAAGGCTCGACTTCGAGTGTGTGGCGGCCCTCGCGCGGCAGCGCCCCGAGGCGAGGGGCGGAGGAGGGAGGAGGTACAGGAAACAGAGACGAAGGGGTCGAAGAGGAAGGGGGTCGGAGCTGGAGGGGCGGCGCACCCGAGGAGCGAGGAGCGTTCAGATCTCCGACATCGTAAAGATCTGCTTGTGTCGGCCAGGCCCATTTCAAGCCCGCGGGCCACCGAACAGCAATTCCGGGACGAGGAAACGGTCCTTGGGAGGCGAGTTGGGGATGGTCCAGGGTCGCGTATTGGAACAAATTGCCAGCTGCCTGATAGGCAGATGGGAATCGGGAAGAATCGAATTCTGGGGATGTTTGTGGCCCTGTTCATTGGTCAGGTGCAGGGGGAAGAAGGGGGGAGAAGGAGGGAGGATGAGGATGAAGGAGGTGGTGGTGGTGGTAGTTGCTGAGAGGGGCTCGCTTTCGAGGGGTCGGGAGGCCTCCCGCCCTGGGCGAACAAACCAGCAGAAGGCACGCGGAGGCCAGCGGGGGTGCAGGCGGGGCGAATCCGATCGGGGGCGGCCAGGAGGTGGTGACTAGAGGGGGTATCTCCTGGCCAGTTCCATGACCTCTCCCCAGATTTCATGGCCCCCTGTTCGTCTTTCAATGCGTCCCTGGTCTCCCCTCGTCCGCACGTGCCTCGGATCGTGAGTTGCGAGCCCCCCTCTTGGACGCTCTCTCCTTGGACGCCCTGGATGCGACGGCGGAGGCCGGCGGGAGTACGGCCATCCCCCCCCCGATCGCCATGACGCAAGCGGCAAATGGGTCCCGAGAGAATCAGGTCATGAGGCTCTCCTTTGGTTTCAGCCTCCTGGGGCCTTCCACGGGCTCCGGGATTGCCAGAAAGCGGCTCAGGGCCAAGTCCTTTGGGGAACGCCCGCGGGTCTAGGACCCGTCTCCTTCGGGACACTTTTGTTTCAGGCCGACCTGCGAAAAGTCAGCGCCTGGCGCTCCCAAGATCTCCAGAGCTGGCCGTGCTCTTTTGCTTTTGGGCCTTTTCGTAATGGAGGGGCGATAAACGGGTGGGGGAACGAGTGTTGCAGGAAAAGGGCCCCAAAGGGGCCACTTGAAGCCCCGAAGGTGCTCGAAAGATACACCCCCCATTTGATATTCCCTCCCCCCATCAAGCACCGCCCGATTGTTGTGACGGCTCCCCCGCTCATGGTTTCGTGGCCTGTTCCGAGATGTAGTTTTTTTCTCCCCCGCCCCCCCACCAGGGGGGCGGATGCGGCCATGTGGTGCGTGGCGATGCCCGATGCGGGCATGTAGAGGCAAGGTATGTTGGGAATGTGCACGCAGAAGCAAGAGAGGACAGTTGCGGACAGATCTTGTCCTCTCTCTCGGCTGGTGGGTCGCTCTTGAAAGGACCTCGCCTCCGATGGATCGACAGGTTGCCATGTCTTCTTCGCCGGAAGCCGGCGGCAGCAAAGCGGGGTCCATGCGACTCCCGAATGGCTCCATGGGAATGCAGTCCGAATGAATCGATTGGGGATACCATTAGAAATCCCTTCGGAGATCCACATGAATAGGAATCCATTAGGATATGCATTATGTAGCACCCCGCAGTTGCTGATAAGAGAGATCGGGGGCGGGCGCAGGGTGTGTCGCGGGTGGGTTGCGGGCGAGTCGCGTGTGAGTTGCGGGGTGGGTCGCGGGCGTGTTGTGGGTGGGTCGCGGGTAGGTCGCGGGTGGGTTGCGCGTGGGCCGCGGGTGGGTCACAGGTGGGTCGCGGGTGGGTCGTGGGCGGGTCGCGGGCGGGTCGCGGGGTAGGTCGCGAGGTGGATCGCGGGGTGAGTCGTGGGGTGGGTCGCGAGGTGGGTCGCGGGTGCTTCGCGGGTGGGTCGCGGGTGGTTCGCGGGTGGGTCGTTGGTGGGTCGCAGGTGGGTCGTGGGCCGGGTCGCCAGCGGGACGACGACATCTAACAACAAGAACAACAACAAAACCACCACCACCACCAACAACAACGACAACACCAATAATATCAACAACGACAACAACAACAACAACAACAATCATTTTAATACTGTTCGCTCTTATTTGCTCGCGTGTCAGTCAATATGCATATCCCAAGCCCTGGATACCCGCCCTCTTCGTCTTCGATCGTACCCCCTTTTTGGGGGGTGTAGTATTCATTCCCTGCCATGTGCTTGGTGAAGCCCTTGAAAACGAAGGGCAACAGATAACGGGGGACAATGAGGACAAAGGGATCGGAGGAAGGGGGGGAGGGGCAAGGAGGAGGGAGGACGATGATTTGCGCTGCGAGTGGCGATTCAGCTTGCGCCATGGCTTGCGCCAGCCACTCCAACACAGGTTAACAATAAGTTTCGCCATGGGTCGCGCCATTAGCAGCGCCACGTACCACCCCCTTGAAAGAACATATCGCGGATACCCCCACGGGGGGACGTACAACTGCCAACTGGTGTCACAAACAAATGTCGTGGAACCTTGAAAAGAAGCGGGACGTCGGGAGAGCGAGGCGGAATGATAGTGATAATTGCAACCGTGTCGAGAGGAGCGCGGGGATGTGGAGTGGATTGGGATGGAGTTGACAAGGGTAGGGTCTCAGGAGGAGGTGCGGCAAGGAGTGGAGAAGAGAAACTTGGAGGAGTGCGGAGGAGCGGGGGGCGCACGGAGGAATCTGGAGGAGGGAATGGGAATAATTTGGGAGAAATGCGGAATGCGAGCGGGAAGGGGTGGAGATTGTCGGGGTGGGATGAGGCGGCTTGGGGAGGAGTGGGCGGAATGCGAAGAACTGAGGAACACCACAATGGAGTACGAACGAAATGAAAACGAAGATAAAAGGGAAAGAGTGCAGGAAACTTGGAAAGAATGTTGGAAAGTGGGGCATATGGATCCGAGCGGGGACTGGTGCGGAAATAAGGCGCGGGGGGATTGGAAAGAACCCGACAGCCTCCTATGACCTTTGGGGGGCCTCGGAATGGCCCCGATGACCACCGAGCAGTTCCAGAGGCTCCGAAAACCTGTGGGAACGCCCCGGGGGCCTCCTCGAGGGAGGCCTTCATTCGAAGCCTGAAGAAGAACATGGGCCAGTGGAACACGCGCGTTTCAAAGGCAAGCAAACAGAGCCCCGGCGAGCGGCGGACCGTCGGCCTGGCCAGTGGCAGCGCTGGCGATGCACACACCGACCCGCGGCAACCCGACCCCAAGATGGACAGGCAGCGGGCTCACCACGACGACGACCACGACGAGAGGAGGGAGGAGGAGGAGGAGGAGGAGGAGGGAGGAGGAGGAGGAGGAGGAGGAGGAGGAGGAGGAGGAGGAGGAGGAGGAGGAAGGGAGGGAAGGAGGGAAGGAGGGAAGGAGGGAGGAAGGGAAGGAGGAGAGGGAGGAAGGGAAGGAAAAGGAGACAGGGGGCAGCGGCGGGGCCGCTGAGAGCAGAAACGGGGCCACGAAGGGCAGAGAGGGGGCCGCGAACGGCGGCAGCGGGTCCACGAAGGGCATGCATATGGGGCCACGACGGGCGCGAACGAGGGGGGGCCACGAAAGGCATTCGTACATGGGGCCACAAAGGGCGACAGCGGGGCCACGAAGGGCAGCGAGGGGGCCACGAAGGGCAGCGAGAGGGCCGCGAAGGGCGACAGCGGGGCTGCGAAGGGAATGCGTATGGGGCCACGACGGGCGACTGCGAGCGGGGGCCACGAAGGGCACATAATGCGGGGCCACAATGGGCAGCGACGGGGCCACTGAGGGCAGCAACGGGGCCACGAAGGGCAGCGAGCGAAGGCGACCGCGGAACCAGTGCGGGCAGCGAGGGGCATCGAAGGCGGGCGAAGGGCAGCGAGCGGCGACCGCAGTCCCTAACGGGCTGGTCGGGCGGGCAAGCCCAGACGGGCGGGTCGAGTGGGCGGGTCGTTGAAACGTGAATTCTGCTTGAACCGCCAGGCAATGTAATGTGTAGCGGGAGCGCGATTCCTGAGTGTCGAGGAGCAGCATCTGAATAAACTGTGTGGAAATATCCGGCGGGAGCCGCGATTCGGCGATAATTTGGAAGTCGCCAGCGAAAGCGCGATTCTTCAATAAATTGTAAGGAAGTACCAAGTGGGAGCAGCGATCCGGCGGTAAATTGCAAGGAAGTCCCAAGCGAGAGCGCGATTCTTCATTAAATTGTGAGGAAGTATCAGGCGGGAGCCGTTGTTCTTGTTGTAAACGGGAGGCCAACAATACAGTTTGACCCTCAAGACTTTCCTTGGTAAAAAACAGGGCGCGAGCCCCGGGAAGGGCATTTCAATCGAAAAAAACAATTTGCCCCGGACGGGGGGGGGATCAACAATAATTATTTTTCCGAAATGAGAATTCAAGAGCACCAACAACAGCACCACCAACATCAACAACAACAACAACAACAATCATTTTACCCGAACGCTCAGTGTTCTCCCCAGTGCCAGGGTTTTCTTGCGACACCAGCCAATACCCCCACTTCGTGGGGGGGCCGTTCAAGCTCTACCAAATATCCAAACGACTCTTCGAGACCACCCACACCCAGCTTCCCGCCCTATGACGTTGGGACACTTCACTTCGTGGCGTGCGGACGACCCTGGCTACTACACTGGCGTGGGGTACACACCCACAGAGGTTGATCACATCTGTTACATATGATGTGGTACACGGTACACGTGAGATGGTACGCAGTGCCAAGATAGTTGGTCACATTTTTGGGGCAAATTCGTGGGGATGCGATTACAGAAGTACATGTGTTACACTGATGTTATACAGTCCCAAGGATGACGCATGCATTGCTCATAGACTCATGGCGCTATGATCCTAACTCTCAGTGCCCAACGCGCGCGTGCACAGCCAGACGGAGGGAGAGAAACACATGTATACAAGGTTCGTGACATACGCACGGTCCACCATGTTGTAAACGATCGCATGCACGGTAAGTTCTGAAATTATACGTATGTACAAGCAGACATGCGAGGGAGAAAGGGAGATGGCCATCGACAGTTCCAATACGGCTCCAAGGCGGAAGAGGGGGAGGAGGAGCAGGACAAGGAGGAAAGGAGAGAAGCGAGAAAGGAAGAACGCAGACGGCGCGGCTCTGGACACAAAGGGGTGCCACGTGTGGTACTTCAGCCCTGGATATACATCGCGCATGTGGTCACCAAGTGCCGCGTTGAGCTTTTCGGCCGTGTCGTACTGCAAAGGTCCAGAGTCAGGGTGATACTTCACGTACCATTGCCTCAAAACCATACCGCTGACAGCGACGGGAGGATCGCTCTCCGAGAGAAGCTGCGAGAGGACCTCCGCGGCGGCATCGTCGGCGAAGCTCTCCCGATACTGATTGAGTCGAAGACGCTCGCCCATACATTCCTCCACAGCTTGGGCAGTGTTGAGTGCCCCCTTGGCGCCCCACTCCGTGCTGAGCCACTTCTGGCATACCCTGGCGTTAGCAGATACAGATAAATGTCCAAGGAGCCACTGCTTCAAGACGGCCCCGTCAGTGGTCCCCTCGGGCATGTCTTTGCGAATACGTTCTCCATACCAGCTCTCCAGATGGCCAGCGTTCTGCACTTGGACAAGCGTGTCTTTCGATGAATACTGCAGTAGCCACGCCGTTGCGACCCTATCTGGCACATACAGTGGTGGATCCAACTGTCGGAGCGCCCGGCATAATTTGTAAGCGGTATTATACTCGATGCCCAGGTGGCGGATGGCAGACCCGTGCTGCTCCTCCAGCTCCTTGGCGCTAGAAATACTGACCTTGCCAGTCACAACCCGATACTTGGCCCACCAAGTCTTGCACGCCTGGTGACTGGCATTGATACCCTTTGCCGCGAGCGCCTGATGCAAATAATACGCACTCTCGCAGTCGGCCAAGGGAGGCCGGGACAGCTCTGCGCCATACTGCTCGTGAAGGTCTTTCGCCGTCAAAGCCATGATCCAAGAACACAGGCGATACCTTGATCCGAGATGGCTACGGATATGAGCGTGAGAGGAAGGGGGGAAGCCTCCTGGGGCCGCTGGGGGTCCTCTTGGGGAAGGGGGGAAGCCTCCTGGCGCCGCATGGGGTCCTCTTGAGAGGCTTTGGGGGGCTTCTTGAAAGCATGTTGGGGCCTCTTGGGGGCTTATTGGATCCTCCCGGAGGACTCTTGGAGCCGCTTGGACGCCTCCTGGGGCCATCTTGGGGGCCTCTTGGAGCCAACTTGGAGCCTCTTTGGAACCTCTTGGGGGCCTCTTGGAGTCCTCTTGGGGCCTCTTGGGACCATCTTGGGCGCCTCTTGCGGCCTCATGGGCGCCTCTTGGGGCCATCTTGAGCGCCTCTTGGGGCCATCTTGGGTTTTAAAGATTCATGAAGAGCCCGCGGGTGGATTTTGATATTTTTCGGATGAGAAAGTCTTGCGTTTGCATATGTTTTCGGAACATCGCATCTTGAAATTATTGAAATCACATTATGTTTGGCAGGATTTCGGCACGCGCGCGCGGCGGCCGCGCGCATGTGCACTTCGTGTCATTTTTTGCAAGGGATGGTGGCCCTCGTAGGCTCGCAACCGTTGTTGCAGAAGGTCGAAGCACCTGAAAAGGTTCCTCGCAAAGGCCCTTTTAACAGAAATGTTTAAAATCTGGTGGGTTTCCTAGGAATCCGCAAGAGCGCGCGGAAGGACATTTTGACAATTTTTTCTGAGAAAACCATTGGGTTTTTGATGTTTTTATGTTAAAATCGCTACGAAACCTAAGGTTTTGGAAGGATTTCGTCTTGCGCGCACGAATGTCCACTTTACCTTATTTTTTGCAAGGGATTCTTGCAATTTGATCAAGTAAAAACAAGAATTTTCATTTTCTATTGTTTTTTGCAAGGGAAAACGAGCGTCAACAAAAAACCGGATCCGGAGCTCATCCACTTTTCTGAAGCTTTCGCGAAAAAATGATGAAAATGTAGTTGCGGCCTAGGCGCGGCGCAGAGGTCGCGCACCAGGGGTCCCAACAATAATAATTCTTTAGAAAGAATAATGTTCAACAACAACGACAGCAAAAACAACAGCCACAACAATAGCAGCAACAACAACAACAGCAACAACAGCAACAACAGCAATGATTATTTGGCTTACGCCGCACCGCCGACCCCTTGGGGTGGCAGCAAGAGTGAAAGACAGAATTCGCAGAACGCGCGCGATCACTGGGCAATCTTAGGATTTCGGCCTGTCCTACGTAGCGTGTGGGATTCAAGGGGGGGCCTTGTAGGGGATTGTTTTGAAGTTTTTCGTGGTCTTATGTGAGTTTCTTGGGGCCTTCACGGGGCCTGTCCCAGGCCTCCTTTTTCACCTCATGGATGGGCTCGGGGGTCGTTGAGACCCAGCTGGGGTTGCGTCCGGTCAGAAGTTCGAGAGTGGACCCAGCTGTGTCGACGAGGAGCTTCCTGAAGGCCCTGAGGGGGCGGAGAGCGCCCAAGAACTAGGAGTCTCATGCCTCGAGCCTCGATCCACTCCGTGTTCCTTCCTTTGCGAAGGGGTGGCACTTGCCAGGGAGTTCGATCCTCATCCCGGACTTTCGGCGTTGGTCCTGTACCGAAAACGGTTCTTGGAGGCTGAATTCGAGGAGGTGCTTCGGGTGGTCGAAAGACCACGAAAATGTATGAGACATCGGCGGCGACGACGAAACCTCCTTTCTTTTTTGTTTCTCTTCCTCTTCCTCGTCCTCGTCCTTCTCCTTGTCCTTTTTTCGATCGATGTAGATGCCCGCGGCAATTCGTGTGTATATATATATATATGCACACACATATATGTATATATGAATATATGTATGTATGTATGTATGTATGCATGCATGCATGTATGTATGTATGTATGTATGTGTGTATGTATGTGTGTATGTGTGTATGTCTGTATGTGTGTATGTGTGTATGTGTGTATGTATGTATGTATGTATGTATGTACGTATGTATGTATGTATGTATGTATGTATATGTATATGTACATGTATATGTATATGTATATGTATATGTATATGTATATGTATATGTATATGTATATGTATATGTATATGTATATGTATATGTATATGTATATGTGTATGTATATGTATATGTATATGTATATGTATATGTGTATGTATGTGTATATATATATATATATATATATATTGTGGCTTTCGGCCCATCCCGCCACCGTGCCTTGGGTGTCGGCCTGAGATCCTTGGTGCCTGGGCTGCGGGTTAGAAGCTACATGCCTCAAGTGGTACTTGAGGCTTATTTTGAGCTTCTTGGCGGCCTCTTGGGGCCTCTTGGGGGACCCTCTTGGGGTCCCCTTGGGGCCTCTTGGGGGTCCCATGGGCCCTGTTGGGCGCCTCTTGGGTCCCCCTTGGGGCCGTTTTGGGGCAGAAGGCTAGGATTGTTGATTCTGGCTCCTCCTGTTGGGCCCCTCATTGGGCCGTCTTGAGGCACTATTGGGCCGTTTTGGGAGCCTCTTGGGCCGTTTTGGCGCCCTATTGCGCCGTTTCGAGCGCCTCTTGGGAACCTGTCGGGCCGTTTTGGGGCCGTGTTGGGGGACTGGGGCCGTCCTCAACGCCGTCAAGGCAGAAAAAACGTGCATGATCAAATGTAGGTTTCCCCATCGGAATTCGACGATGTTGGCCTCTTGGGCCCCTCTTGGGGATGTTCCTGGGTGCCTCCTGGGCCGTGTGGGAGGCTTCTGGAACCGTCTTGGGGCCATCCTGGGCGTCGGGGTTTTGAAATCGCTGGAGTTCCGCGTTTTTTTACATTTTTAAAAACCACAGGTCGCAGCCGACGGGGTTCGGCTCGTCGGCGGCGCGCACTGTCTGAAGCGTTGAAGAAATATCTCACACATCGAGTCATCATAAGCCCGAGTGGTGCCGCGTGGCGAAGAAGGAGCAACGAGAAAGCGTTTTCAGTGCTCACGGTGATGGCGCTCCATCTAATCACGAGGCAAACGTGCACCGAGACAGCTTGCTGCACGCGTACTGCGATCTCTTGTGAACATGCAAGGTGGAGTGGCCACCTGGTGGACACAAGCGACGAGGATGCGCATATGCTCGGTCCTTCCGCGATCGGAAGTGAGTAGATAGCCGACGATCGGGCGCATGAAGTGCATGTGTAGGCACCGCCGCCCCCGGGACACATTGCCCATGAACTGATTTCCACGAGCTCGGAGAACGCCCCCTCTGCCTTAGCTCCTGGCAATCATCTCGAGGCTGTTGCTCATGCAGTTCGGGACGCGGGGCCACGGCGATTCTGGAATCTCTGAACCCCTAAGGTGACGTCTCTTTTTACCCCAGTTTTCCGCCCGTTTGCGCTGCTGGACCCGCCACCATACGTCCGCCGACCTTCGCCGGCTGTCCCCCAGCTTCCGCCGAGGTCAACATGCGCCGAAGGTGAGGCCCTTCCTGGAACGTCCTATCTCTCTCAATCTCTGTGCAGCTGCTGGTCCTTCGCAGGTCGTTCAGCGGATGCTGGGCAGCTTCAGCCCCAAGGAGAGCAGGGAACTCTCTCTGGAGGAAGGGCCACTGCTGAGGGGGGGCGGGAGGCATGCTGAGGGCAGACGTAGATATTTGTGCCGAGACGTTCGAATCAATCATACCACCATGAGGACACATGTTCGCAGGTCCGCGCGATTTTCTTGGATCGGCGCTGGACCCACATCCCTGGCGCGCGGAGCGCGCCAGAGGTTGCGCTGGAGGCGTCGCCAGGGTGGTCCAGCGCCGATCCAAGAAATCCGCGCGGACCTCCGAACGTTTATGATCTGTCCCGATATGCATTTGCTTACTTCTGCCCCTCAGGAATTGGATGGGTCTGCCGAGGTTTCGCCACGTTCCTGACCTTTGGTGCCTCGTGGGCGCCCCGTGCATTGGGTGGGCCCGCCGAGGTTTCGCCACGCTGCGGCCCGTGGGCGCCTCGTGGGTACCCCGTGCGCTGGGTGGGTCCGCCAAGGTTCTGCCACGTGGCCGCTCCTGAGCGCCCCGCGCGCTGGGGTCCACTGAGATTTCGCCACGTTGCCGCCCGCGGGCGCCTCGTGGACGCCCCATGCGCACATGAAATAGTAGTTCGCCCCACCTTGCGTGCACCACACAGCTTGCACCTCGTAGTTCGCACCAGGGTGCACTACATAGCTTGACTGCGCAGCTCACTGTGAGCTACGGTGTCAAGCACACACCACTTAGATGGCACCGCATAACTTACACAACAGAGGTTGCACCACTCACATATTTCAAAATAATGCACTCTACGACCCTCTCCCCCCAGACTTATCGGAGACCCTTGGAACAGAGCAAATTAATATGGTCCTACCCCATCGTTCATTTCCCATATGCGTTTACACAATGCGAGGCTATCCCGGTATCGACCCCCCCTTTGCCAAGTAATGATAGTATGCGTGCGCATACGTTTATTGCAAAGGATAATGTTCAAGAATTGGCGGCACCAGGTCCACACGCGCGCGCACACGTTGAAAGCAAACATAACACATGTGTGTTCTGTAATGATTCCAGCTAAAAAGTCATAAGAAAAGCATCACATGTTGTGTGTTATCAGATATCTGTCAACCTGTCTGCCCGCTGCCCGCGCAAAATGGCTGAAATCATGGGGCAACGATGTGACTTTAGCAATGTCACCCCAAACCCGCACGTTCACAGCACCACGCGGTGCGTCCGCGTTGATCCAGCAGGCGCCCAGTGCACGAATCCCCACCACATAGTAGCATGCGGGCCACCTGCGCGCGCCGGCTGCGCGCGCATGTCAAAATCCGTCCAAAACAAAAGTTTTGGCAAGAAATTCAAGACCAAGGATTTCAATAACCCATGAAACCCAACTTGTGTTTCAACAGTTGTTGTCAACACATCTGCTCGCGCGTTGTTGTCAACACATCTGCTGTTCAACATGCTTCTCAAATGCGACCACGCGGGCCTCTCGCGCGCGCATGTCGAGATCATTGGAGCGCCATTTGCGCGCTTTCTGGGGGGGGGAACGACCTCTGTCAAATAATGTCATGCGGGCCACTCGTGCGTCGGCCGCGCGCGCATGTCGAAATTCTTCGACAGCTTTAGTTTTCGTAAGGATGTCCAGATCGAGGTGCTTGAACACCTATGCATACACAATGGGCTTGCAATAACAAAGGGAAAACCGTAGCCAGAGTGCAGTATCTCCAAATCGTATGTATAGAACGCATGATGGTTTCCAAGTGCGTTCGCGCGTCTAGTTTCGCGCGGGAGAACATGGCGCCAATACCATACAGGGGGGTTGTACCAGCTTGTGCGCCACGTCGTTTGTAATGCTCCCGTGGGAGGTCCGCGGGCCCACATGTCGAAACCACATTCGTGACGTCGAATGTCTGGGGAGGGCGGTGGAAGCCAGGGTGCTCATGGCGGATGCTCAGGCGGCAGGAATGACGGAGGCGGCGACGGGGAGGCGAAGGCAGACGCGCAGCACGCGGGAGGCGGGAGGAGAGAGGAGGACGAGGCATGTGGGAGGCAGAGGGAGGGAGGAGGGAAAAGGAATGAGAGAAGTTACGAAATGTTTCAGGCAGAACGGACTCGACCACCACGCGCGCGGCAGATCGGAGCTCAGAGTTGAGAGGATGTCTCAGGCGAAACGAGCCAGATCACCTCGCTCGGCATCTCGGAGCCAGGAGTTGCGAGGATGTCTCAGGCGAAACGGGCTAGACCACCTCGGGCGCGGCATCTCGGAGCCCAGAGTTGCGCGGGTGTCTTTGGCGAAGGGCGCAGGATCACCTCTCGCGCGGCAGCTCGGAGCGGAGAGTTGCGAGGACGTCTCAAGCGGAACGGGCCAGACTTCCTCTCGCACGCGGTCTGCCACGACCACGGCCCGCTCTCTTCTTGTTGGATGAGTATAATTTCTCTTGTTCTTGCCGTCCACCTCCCTCCTCCTGCCTGTTCCCTCCTCTGTTTGCCCTCCATGTGTGTCTTCTCCTCCTCCTCCTTTTGACGTTGCTCGGACTTCATGCTATAGCACGCAGCGTTCGGGTATGAAAATACAACAGACCCGCTTAGCAATGCGGTAAGCATCAAATTCACCTGGCGGGCGCAGTGGAAACATAGAGGTGACGAACAGTGTGAAGAAGATAATGCGAGTATGCGCCCGCCAGGTAGTAGAAACGGCAAGCCTGAAGTACCTTAGTCTGGCTACCTCCCCCACCAAGAATGTCCCTCTCCAAATCTCCTTCGTATGGCCAGGCAAGCCGTGTAGTGGAATTGGCGTACACCATGTTTGTAAAAGCAGGCGATTCTAAAATAGCGCAGGAGGTGAGGATACCAGTACATACACACATACAGGATAGATGTCCGCCACCTCCCACATGCGAATGAAATCTGTCAACACCCTTACGTGCGGAAAGGCATGCGTAGCTAACAGGCGACACGTGAAAGGAGAAGTCTAGTATATAAGCGCGTGAGGCTGGCCTGAATAACCAACGGTTGGTAGCGTTGAGGTCCGCTACGTTGTGAGGCTGGCTAAGGGAGATGTGTGGCCTAGACGGTAAACTTGCTGAGTCAGAAGTTGATGACCGCATGAGACATAACGAGCAGATGCTTGCAACACAAATGAAGAGAAGATAAGTAACTAATCTCAAATTGTCGCTGAGATTCGTTGATGTGCCTCGGAGTCCCATCCTTGCCCCCTCCGTCCGACCTCCACCTCGCCAACCCATATTCTCCAGGCCGGCACCGCCAGGCCCAGTGTACAATGTTGTAAACTAATATGGGGTGGGGGAGGGAGGACACTGCAGGGCACGGTTAAATACGGATGGCAACAGAAAAAACAGAGCATGAGGAAGTAGCGTTTAGGTTGGCACACTAGGTGGCTGGCCTGTGCCAAATGCCATGTACTTCAGTCTGCTGCGCGTGTGTGGCCACTCGAGGGTAGCTTAGAGCTGTAAGAAAAAGGAAGCCGGCCAGGTGGCAGTTCTTGGGATGCAGACCAGGGCTTGTCGGTTCACCCCAACCCTTCTGGTCCCAGGACCATAGTGTTTTTTTGTGTGCAGTTTTCCAGGGTTAAGCACGAACCCTTGTGACACTTGGGCGGTGACTGCAAGGCTGGCACACCTAAGGCTTGCCTGTAGAGGGATGCGGCAAGAAGAAAGCTGAATGCGCAAGAGTTGCAGCACGACGGATGTCGCAACGAGGATCCCTATGTGTGAAGCACAGATTCAAAGGTGGCAGACCTTGGGCTGCTACCTGTAAGTGAGGGGCCATACCTAGTGTCCAGGGGGTCAGAAAGAAACGAGAGTGGAAGCGACTGAAATCTAAACGTGTAAGGCCGCGAGGAGGGGTTGTGAAGTAGCGGCTGCTGCGAATACGGTGTGATGAACCTCCCGACAGGGAGACGCTAAATTGTGGCCAAAGAGTTGTCGAGGGTAGAATGATAATTGCCTGCAAGCTACACGCTATGAAGAACTGGGGCCAAATGTACGCGAGCTGCCGTTGGTGTCGAGGGCAAGGTTGAGTAGAGTTGGGAGAGTGTTGCCGGCGGCCCCCAAAATGGCCCAACGTGAGCAATTCCCGCATTCCCACCCCATGCCCAATCACCTTTGCCACTGCCACTTAATAATAAGGTACATTGGTGGCTCGGAAGCGAGCAGCAACGACGGGAGAGGCCAGAGGGAGCAGGGGAGGTAACCCACCGAAAGAGGAGAAGACACATGTCATATGCCTCCGCACGTGGGGGTGCAGGGCATCTGTTTTCCCCAGCAGCCAGGGGGGACGGCCCTTGGGGGGAGGGGGAGGCGCTTCCGCAAACCGTGGAACACGGTAAGTTGTGGGCGATAGGTCCAGCGAAAGCGAGAGTGGGAAGGTAAGAAGAAGAGGAAGACGATGACGACAGTAGGATGAGCTTTGGTACTTAGTAATATTGTAGGGAAAGAATTGGGCCCTCAGTCATGTGCCTTCCGCGGTAATTGAAGAGCCAAAGGTAGCTGTCGTGGGAATATTGAATGGCACTGCCCATGTAAGTACCAATAGGATGTTGTCACCGTAGTTGTTGTAGTATAGGTCCTCCTAGCACTTCGTAGGTGGAGTCGGCTTTGGCACGGGCGGCGCCTTGAATGTTGCAGGTGCCTGATCAGCATGTACCGCCTGTTGGTGCAGAAGCCCCCGATGTTGAAGATTACGCTGCTGTACCTCTGCTAGGTGTTGTTGGTAATGTATCCGGTGGCGCCGAACTGCTGCTATGTAGCTATGTAGTCCAGAGGGCGTGGGTCACTGTTGATGTATACGTATGTTCGCCCCAGGTGGTAAGTAATTGGCGCCTCTGGTGCGGACCTTGTTTGGTTGTCTTGTAGGGTTGGCGGCGCCTTAGGTGCAAAAAAGACTTGTCAGGTGGCGTGCGTATGTGGTGCCAGTTCTGAAGTGGGTATGTCCTGGAACCATTGTTGCGCCCTGGCGTCTTTTGGTGGCGGGCACACAATTGGGATTCTGAGGGTGGGTGGTGGTGGGTGCATTTGGCTTCTGATTACTGTGTTAGATGGT